CTCGTATGTCCATAATATGAAGTTTTAACGTTTTCGATTGAAATTTTAAAAAAATGCTATCATATGATTTCTATTCAAACATGGAGGGTGTGAAACAGTCATTACCTTTGAAATATCCTACATACCGCCAGCCGTCATGAAAAACGTTCGTCATAACACTCGACGTGGGTCAACATGGTCGCATCGACTTTCTTATATTGTTTCAGGGGAGAGGTCGATTACCCTTTAAAATACGATATTTGACATACTTGTCAGGGAGACTGTGGCTTAAGTCGCGTGGCTGGCTTAGACTGTTACACAACAGCAAAAATAAAGTAGAAATCTACCCAACCCGGCTACCCACTTTTCTGACTTAGGCTCGCTTCCCCGTTTCCACGGGGCACATAAAATATCGTCTTTTTGCAACACTACAGTATTCGCCGATGATATAAAACAATACCATATACAGTGATTTTTATTATTCGTATCAAAATAATCAGCGCACATGCGTATTAGAATTTTTTTTATCGAATACTTATATTAATTGCGTAATGCAAGGATGCGTGATGCAAGAACATTCTATAGTCATGATATATCATAACCAAACTCATTTATTGACATACAATATCAGACAAACAATACATAATCTCTCGTCCATATTGCATCCATATCACTGTCCTTCAACAACTATATGCATCTATAAGATATTCTATCTGTGTGAGAACATCTTGTGTGGTGACATGATACTTTGCACCTTTGTATTAATTTCCGCAATACATATACATATCCAGATGGGAACTGCCAGATGCCCTCAAGTGGTCAGTAACTGAAATGTAGCCGTTTCTGCTGTCAGACACCACTGTGATAAATCTCCACCACCAGATTTGTGAAAAATGGCAATCATACGAAATTACAAATAATCGGATTTCGCAAATCACAGTTATTATTACATGCATAAATGTTAATCATTAGTATCCTCAAATTACATTTTCGACCCATAAGCTGCATTTGTTGACATGTCATATCAAAATACTAGTAAATATAGTTGTATAAAATTATAACAAGTTTGTATTTGAGTTAACGTGATCACAGTCCCTACTCCTTTGTGGAGGGACGGTGAATACGCGCACGAATTTGTGTCTGGTGCTGAATAAATGTGCATATTCGAAATATTTGGGAGATTGACTTCCTTTTGGAAGGGGACGTGAAGCTGTCGTTCCTGTGTACTGCTCCTGTCCTCAATGTTCGTAAAAGATCCAATTGTTCCTGTCGCAAAGTTTCCGCGGGACAACTGACGCACCTTCTGGGGCTGTCGTATACGTGTCAGTTTCTGCATCTGTGGGACTGCGCGCCAGATAGGTGATAGGGTTGAGAAGGAACTGTACACCTCTTGTTCACCTTCATGTGTCGGCCAGGCAAGCAGGTCGGAATGACTTGGCTGCCTACTCATCTGTCGAATCGTCAGGAGAATCCATCCATCTTCCGTAATAACCGATATATCGTTTAATCCCATGTTCATTTACTAATAGTACCAGAATGACCACTGATTATGACCCCAAGTATTACCAAATATATGAAACCTATAAATTTGAATGATGCTATAATGTATAGACCTCTTTATTGGCAAAAAACAGACCTCAATGTCAGCACAAACTTATACAATGTAGTACCTTTTCAATAAACGACCCCCTCCGTCATGCCGGCAATTCCGACATCTTTCAGTTGTTTTCTGGGAATTTGCTGTACTTTGTATCCTGACTCGCAGTTGGCGTGGATTAGATAAAACAATGTGATGATTTTATGGTACGTTTCAGTCATCACGCTGGCGAGCAAATTTTCATGGGACCAAATGTTATTGACAGCAAGTAGCTTATTCTGCAGTATATCTTATATGAGTTGTAATCTAGATCTGAAACATCATGGCGGATCATCCTGCGGTTCAAAAGTTTCACAAAACGTTGTCCTGTCACAGAAAATGAATTCACTGCTGTAATTGTATTTGCGACGACACAATATACCAGACACATCAATTACTAGTCTTAATTCGTACAATATCCATTAATTTCAATTTAATAGGTGTTTCTTCACTTTACTACCGACTCAGGACGTGACCCGGATGTAAAACCGACCACACTACGCCAACATCTCTGAGTATAACTGGAAAATAACGTATTTGGTTTTATTTCCGCCAGTGCATATACACACGGTCGGTTTTACTAAATTGTATTGGCCAAGAAAGTGAATGTGAACTTATGTGGTTCAATACGACCAATGCTAATGTTGAAAGTGAACGATTTATGCGTTTAGACTGATTTTCAGTTTAAAAAAAACATGTCAACTTGTTGTTGTTGTTGTTGTTGTACAGATACATAGCGGGTACCTAAAAACTGATGGAATCAAAGAAATGTTCCTTTGTTGCGAAATAGTGTTGTGTTCCGAGTCGATGGTGTACATTGTTGAAAGTTGGTCAACAAAAGTTATGAGTAATAGATTTGCTGTAATTAAAAAGTGTCATATATCATGGCGTTTCGTCTCCACAGTTAATGTGATACAATCTGGGCGGAAACGTATATACGTCTCATCGAACAAAAATTGCGTTTTCAGTTTATGATAAAGTATTATAAGGATGATATTATGATAAACTTTCAAACACAAATACTCCAACCGCATTTCAGTTTATGTAATTTATTTTGAAAAGATCGCTTCTATGTTAGCCAAAACGTGATTGGATGAATATACATGTACTACTTACTAAAGTAGGTGAATTGTCAGTGGACGATTACGCAGATTGAACGGCGTCTCGGTAGATGCATTTCGACGGCAACTTGAGTGACATTTACTAACGATATTTGCATATATGAACACGTGACTACCCCACTGACGACATCACCACAGTTCGATGAAAGTCTAAGCATACGTACAACTTATGTGGTGAGGTAATGATGGAGTCGGCGCCGGTTGTCGCGTGTTGGCTGATATGTGTGTATCTTGGAAGTTCCTATTCTGCAATTGTAAATGTTGGTAAGTAACATCATATTCGATGATAATTACTCACATACTAAAATGTACAGCGCCTTTATTTGTATTTGATATGGGTCCCATGCGACAATACAACGTATGTAAAATACTAGTAATTTATTTCCACGAACTTCGAATGCGTGCTTTGTGACTGACGCTTTAAACTGACTTCACAAACACAATTCGCCGATTACATGTAGTAAACATAACATAACATCGCG